TGAACTATCGTTTATTATAAATCAACATATATAACATTTAGAGTCTTGATTAAATTGAAGAAATTATTATATAAATTATTTGGGAATTAGGTATATGAAAAATGTATAACAAAATTTTAATATCAATGGAAATACAACAGTTAACAGACTAAACTTATGTATGAATTTAAAATATAATTTATATACTTATTACAAAATTTGCACATAGAGAACGTTGTAGAGGGAAAACGAGATTATTTCGTAGTAAGAATGGATTGAGAATAGGTAGATATGAAAACCAAAAAGAAACTACACAACACATGCCATGTGTATTTCCGACTTTAAGCTATAGAAGACTTACAGTCAACCCAGTGTAAAATATATTAAGCCTACTATGTTCGAAGGATCATAATAAGTGTAACTTAACCTGTACCAATCACTTTGACATAAACCAGTACCATAAACCTGCAAATAATTGCAAAATAAATCTTAAAACTCACAATTTTAAAATGCAAATAGGAAGACAAAATATTCGGCTTAACTAAATGCAGCATGTAAAGTTCCACTGCTGCACACCAAGAAAAGCTCGGTGCCGCTTTTTTACTGCTTGAGCGGTGCAAAATATATACAACTGAACGTAAGGTCGCCACTGCTTAGTGCTAATGACTGTTCAATATAATCGTTTTTTGCAGCTAGTATGCAACAGGCTTAAGACTTACGTGTAACGAAGTTATTGTTATTGATGTGGTTCACCAAATATGAAAAATCAAACAGGTACCTAGTTTTTAAGTCCCTGTATGGGAGAGTTAAGTCTTGGTCGTCTCAAAATTGAAATGGCTTAATGAAATAATTTGCGTTATGCAATAATTACGGCCTCTGAAGCCATAAATTACGATAAACCAATTAAGGTAATCAATGGAAACCCCAACATTATTACATTTCTAGCCCGTTTCATTATCAGTGGTCTACCTGTATCATTTGATATCAACCAGTTTAATATAACATTAATATACTTAGGTTCCAGGCTATAGATTTCAATGATCAAATTGGGCATATACAAAAATAGTTTTAGATAAAATCCTTTGCTGTACTTGAAGAGGGGTTAATAGAACACTATATCATAATTTAGACGCCAAAAATTCTTCGTAACTGTCAAGCGAAATCCATTAAGAACTTATTTAGAGTAGAAATTAATGGCTCCCTACCACCGAAGTAATTTATGTCCATATGTATTTATATTATTGTACAGTCAAAGTTACATTTTAAGATTTAAAGATAATTTATTCATTAAAATTTTTGTACAATCCACTTTAATATCCAATACTAAAATTTTATTTGCAAATTTAAACTTTTTGTTGCTTGAATTTATTTCCAAAATAAAATGCCGTCAGGAAACTGTTAAACTTTAGTTTCAGAACACAACAAAAACACGAGTAGAGGAAAGAGGAAACGTCTTAAGAAACAGAACCGCTGCATTGAACTTGTTTGTGAAGGCGTTGTGCAGTATACAAGGGCAAAACAGATTTTTTGCAATGTCCATAAAAAAAGATTAAAGCACACAAAAAACAACTACAACTGCAACAACAACAATAACAATAACGTCATAAAACAGCAGTCATCACGACGATGTACAATAACAAAGCTGTGATCTTCATTTTAATACTTGAACATAAAAACAAAAAAAACCGATTTGAATGCAAGACCAAAACCAAAATAAAAAAACGTTAAAAAAAGCACAACAAAATATATTGAACCATAAAAAGTTTGAACTGGTCGAACATGTTTTCAAAGAACAACACAATAAAAACAACAACAATAGTGGAACCAAATTTAAATTGAAATGCACTTTTTATTTTAATTTTTTATTGCCCTTTTTCTTGTTGGATTATGGTTAAAAAAAATTTTTACCTGAAGACACAGCAGGATATTTTTAATATGGCTTCAATTTTTAGTTAATATTTTCAATTACTTATTTTTAAATTTAATATTATTTTAATGAAACACATTAACCGTTTTATTTAATATTTTAATGCATTTTTACACTTTGTTATTGTTAGTTGCAACATAAAACACGTTAACACATAATAAAACAAACAAGAAAAAAGCAATTTAAATAAAATGCAAAAGTTAAAATATAACACACAGAACTCCAGAATTTCAGAAAATCAGAAATTCACCGCCAACCGTACGCAATAACCGCAAGTTTAACACGAACTGACAAAATGTGTTCAAATATAACTGAATTTCAGTTCAATTAGGTTGAATCGAAATGAAATCAGTTGAATTCAATTAAATTGAGTTGAATTACAATTGAATAGAGAGACCGTAAAAATTAAACGTTCTTGCTCCAAACTTGAATTGAGCTACGCTCTTACAGATATGATCACATGGCAAAAGACCGTATTATTAGGTCTTTACACATGTAATGCAGAATGTTGAGAAAAATTTGTGTTTGCCGGTTTTGTGTTGAGTTTTTCTCAAACTGAAGCAAAATCGAAATTAGAATTGATAAATTTACTGCTTGTGTAACCTTAGTAATATTTGTGAGTTTATCAAATTGAATATCATTAATTCAAATATGTTAATTCAATCGGTTGTTTGCAATTAACAACAATGTTTTTTTTATTAGAATGATTAATGTAAAAAATTATGTATTTTAATATAAATTTAATTATCATAAAATGTAGAATTTATTTAAATTTATTTAAATTCTACATTTTATTTATTAAAGAATTTTTTTATTATTGTATGTAATTTGCTCTCTAAACCCTGTTACACTCTATTTAGTTCCAGTTATAGAATTTCGAGTTATGGAAGTTTATATGTGCCGAGATACATTTATCTACACTCTAAACCAAAATTTCTAATCCTTTTTAGTACGCTCTATCTAACATGGTGCAAAATAATTGCATATGTTAACACTTTATTTTTCTGTAAAGAAATCGTAATAACAAAATTTGACATATTAAAATCTCTTCAACATATGTTTTTGTTTTTAAAACAATAATGCAATATTAATATTATTAATTAATCTATATTTTTTTTATTTATTTTGTTTTTGCTGTTTGAATTGATATGGTGAACAATAATTGTGGTAAGAGTCCTAACTACCATATACTAAGATCGTATTATTACAGATACATTAAAGAATATAATATTACGGTCTTATGCATTAAAATTTTTCAGAAAGCTTTAAAGATCATTGGAGTCTGTGCGATCCATTCTAGGATTTTTCCGCCAATAAAGAACTGCCTACTTTTAATGTTTATATGTTGGCTTATGTTTTTGAAACTAAACCAAAATCTAAATTCAAGTTTTTGTTAATAAAAGAAATTTGAAAACAATACTTTTTGGTATTCGAACCCCAAAATTTTCCCAAAGTCTTTCCGTGTGAATGGCAACTGTTGTAAGAATCCTAATTATTTGGTGAGTTACTAAAACAAATATTATAATTATTTATAATTGTAAAAGTATATTAGATATCTCCTCTGGGTGGTAAGGAAATACAAAGTGAAAATTACGAATATCGTTCTTTCCAGAAATAGATGTTCGCAAAACGAATGAACATAAACATTTGATTATTAAGAATTTGAAGAAAATTATTAATATATTAGATATTAAATTAAGAAATATTATAAATAAAACTCATTGTAAAAATATATTTAGAAAAATATTAAATTTAAGTTTAAAAAGAACTGATAATTTTAATAAAAAATGTAGTTATTTCCAATCTTTCTTAATCATTTTCCATTTCTGTTTGTGATGAATTACTGGTTTTACATCTTGAGTCTAATGTTTTCAAAGACTCTTACTTTTTATATCTCCGAGCTTAAAAATTTAGTTTGTTTTTTTATTATATATTTCTACGATGTTTCCATAGCAACTTTGTTTTTATGATGTGACAAGTTTTGTGATATTTTACTCGTTATTATGTATTTCCACCTCATGGTTAAAACTTATGCGATTGAGCCATCCTCTTGGCGTATACGTCCAAACATTTTTCAGAAGAATTTTTTTTCGATTGAAATAATTGTATCGCTTTATTTGATTTTAAGACTCATGTTCAATGTTCAATATATCCATATTCTAATGCTTTCTTGTAGTAACTAAAGATGTGTCTTTTAGTAGAAGAACAACTTTACTTATGGATAAGCACGGCAAGGGCTACGCCCCGGAACTACGTATCTACACAGACAACCAATCGCAAGTCTACAATCCCAGAAGAGATGAGAATTGCCAATATATGTTTAGTGATATTTATCGCGCCTCTACGTATTGCCTAAAAAGAAACAAATCTAATTCTCTTATTACTTCTAATGGCCAGTATTGAACCAAACTAGCGTCTTAACAACGCGATTGTGTACAGACTCAGGATCTATAGCAACACTACATCTGTAAACCAAAAATTGTCTACAGCAGGGTGTTGTCAATACTACTCATGTATTTTAATCTGTCAATGTGTTTTTAAACCCCGTTGATCTGACGGCTTCTTCCAGCTGGCTTTTCCAACAATATTATTTGCAAACGCTAATATTTGTGTTGAGTTCAAACAAAAAATGTAAAATTTATTAAAAAGGGAAATACACTTTACCTAGTTGAAGATATTTTTTAATGTGATGTGAAGAAATGTGTGATAAACAGACTTTCTTATAAACTGACATATACATTAAGCATTTCCATATCTACACTTTCCATTTTTCTGTTCTCTTAGCTGGTCAAAATTGCAATTTAAGATATCCGTTTAAGAGAACTCTTACTGTCACACATCACATTGTATTATCACATTAATAAATATATTCCTTTATACCCAAACCATATTTATAAAAAAAAACTAATAAATAAATTACAAGGCAATTAATTATATATTAATATTATTTTCTTTTAATTGAAATATTTTTGATTACAAATTTTCATATTTTACAAAAACGTGTTTTAAATAATTTACATTTTGTTTTTTTACCTTTAAATAACATTTAACTTAAAACTAATTTGCACCCAATTGAAGCATTTTTATATATAATATTTTATATTATATAATTATACTGATATATGCAGTGCTAAGCAATTAAATAAGTTTTTTCATATAGGCAAGTATTTCCTATAACATAGTTTGTATTGCCTTCCAAAATTGTGAACCTGCAGAATATTTTCGTTAAGCTATCAATCAATGTGAACGAGCGATATCCGAGAAGAAATTGAGTATGTCCTGTATATTGAATTCCAAATTGATCATAGCACCAGCATAGCATTTCTGTATGCGTTCTTCCAGAAAATTATATTGTGCAATAAACTCTTCTTGCATGGCATGCCAGACCACTTGCAAAAGATTCTCCTCTTCACACAAGTGTTTCTCAACTTTTTTGTAAAGATTTTCAAGTCCTTTTTTAACTTCACGTCCCGGGTATTGACTAATAACTTTACGTAGTTCTTGCTTTGAGAAAGCCATTTGATAGCTAATTTCTGTTTCTTTAACACCTTGAGCGACTTTTTGTTGTACACCTTCGAAGAATTGCTGTAAAAAGAAAAATGCTTAGTGCCCTTACAAGTTATAGGAAAATATATAGCATATATAATCAAAATTGTACAATATACAACTTTTATTTATTTACTTACATTTAACTTTTCCAATGGTCTTCCAAAGTATTGTATTACATACGCTTTAAGCGCATCATTGTATCGCAACTTGGCTTCTTTCTTGAGACTATCTAGACCAGGCACTTTAAGCTGTGCCAGCAGCGAATACATATGATGATAGTTCTCCATGCGCACTACTTGTGACGGCGTTTTCGGGTGATCCTGCGCATGGACTGATACACTTTCAAATATTGCATTCACCAGTTGCAAATACCACTTCTCCATATCTGTACGTCGATTCGATTTTCGAAATATTCCTTCTGCTGTTTGCGCAAAATATTCAAAATTTTCAACATACGGCAAAATTCCGCACTTCGAACGTTTAGGCACTTTCGAATCTTTAATTGACTGTAATTGTTGTTGCATGAAACGATCAAAATTACGTTTGACTTGCACTAATGCTGATGCAAAACTCATGCTTAAAAAGGAATGTGTGTCCTGTGCAGACATTACATGCTGTGTTAGGCGTACAAGCACGTACAAGGAATAGCTTGAAATAAATTAATTATTTTATTATTTTATAAATATAATATTAGTATATTTATTAGTAATAAAGAAAATTTATCTTACAAGCTATCAATGCGTTCGAAGCTTTGAATAAAGTTCACCAATTCTGGTTCTAAACAACCAAATAAAGCAATCATTAGCTTACGGACCTCTTCATTAATTTGACGATCTATTTTCTTTTGCGGAAATATATCTGAAATTATATATATATGTAGGAACTAAAAATAAACAATAAATAATTGTACTTACTTTCACCACTAACTGAAGATGGAGATGCTAACAGTGACTGTGACATATCAACACTCTTTTCTAAAACGTCCAGTGTTGTTTGAGTATTTTTGGTTGTAGGGCTTATTACATCCAATTGAAAAAAATTAATACAAAACATTTGTTCCTGCAAAGCTATTGGTTCTAGTTCAGCAAGAACTTTTTCTAAAACAGTATCAAACCGTTCACGATCTGCACTATCCACACCAGGCGTCCATTGGTCTTTATTCACACCAAGCGTACCGTAAGGCACTGCAGAAACTGCTGATTTTTTCGACGCTGTAGAAGTATCTAAATCTTCTCGAGAGGTACGCAATTTTTCTGATACTTGTGATTTTGCCTAAAATTGTATACGTAAATATTTATTAATAAAAATTAAGTATAGAGGAAGCAAGTTAGAAGCAAATATAATATAAAATTTGAAATAAACTTAATAATTCATTTAGATTTAAAAGTTAAATTTAATTAAGATTTAGGGTACCATAAAATTAAATTTAATTTAAAAATTAAATTTAAAAATTTAATTATTTTTAAAATTTAATTTAAACTGAATTTGAGTTAAATTAATTAACTCTTAAACATATGATTTAGTAAACATATTATTTAATAAATTAAATTGATTTTTAATTCATTAATTAATTAATTTTTAATTTATTATTTAATTAGTTCAAAATTTAAATATAATTTAAATCAAAAGCCAGATTAAATTAAATTTAAAAACTAAATTCAATTTGAGAATATATTTAATAATTAAATTAAATTTAAAAACTTAAGTTATATCAAAAGTTTAATTATATCAAATTTCAAAATAAAATTCAATTAAATTTAATTAAATAAATCTTAAATTACTTTTTTTTAAAAGTTAATTACATTTTTGAATTTATATTATTAATTAATTTAAATTAATTTTAATTTAAATTAATTTTTTAATAATTAATTTTTAAATTGAACGATCAGCTCATCTGTTTAGTTGTTCAACATCATCAGTTGATTTTATTATATAATAATTAATAAAAAATTATAAAATTATTATTAAAAAATTATAAATTATATAATTTATAATAAATATAATTTTACATAGCATGTATATAAATTATACTTATATAATTTATAATTTTATATAAAATTATTTATAATAAAATACAATTTTAAAGCGCAAATATTAAGCTTTAAATCTTAATATATGAATATTTAATATATAATATTTAATATATAATATTTAATATATAATATAATATATAATATTTAATATATGAAACACAGAGTCCCATGTTGGACTACTAAAGCAACGTTAAAATTTAATGATTTTGATTCTTTATATTTATTAAATTTTATATGAACAATTTAATAATATATATATTTTAAATTAGTTTCAAAATATTGTACATTATTTAAGTAATCGATCAGATTGGTAAAGAATATATAAATAAAATTTAGTCATTAAAACAATAAATTATTTAATAACATATAAATCTTAAAACTTATGTTGTACTGTGTTTATATGTAGAATTAGATTTACACTCTTTCTCACAGTGTGTTATTCTAATAACTGATAATATAAATTATTATATAAAAAGTAATAATAATATTATAAATAGAAGTAACAAAGCAGTAGAATCAAAAAGCATTGAACAATAAAAGTAATAATCTTTAAATTTTAAATGTGAACAAAATATATTATTTTAAATATTCAAAACAAAAAAACGTACCACTGCAAAGAAGTTTCTTATGTCTCGCTCATAAATTTTGCTCAATGACGTTGTATATACACGTGTTAAACCCTCATACGTTTTTCTATCCATCGCTTTAGTCCAATGCATTAACTCGGTATATGGTGTAAGTTCTCTATGTACGGAGGAATGATTTGGCAACAACAATTCAGTACACGAAATTGGCATATCACTTATTTCATTACCCAAATGTATAAAAAGATTGTTCATGAAACGACTAACTGTTACCGAGAACTTGGCTTTCCACTTCTCAAAACGTTTACGTTGATCCTGTACTGCTTCCAGACGAAGTAAAGAAGGATCAATGTCACTATTCATGGCCGATTGCAGGCTTTGTGCAGCAGAAATAGCTGCCTTTCGACCTTCTGGTGTTTTTAAGTCAGGATCATCAAGTGCTTGTTGATGTATGGGTGGTAGATCCAACTGTGTCTGTAAATGTGCTTTGATTTTAGAATCGAATCAAAATACCTAAAGAGTACACTTGAAAACTACTTACAATAACCTTATTAAGTTCTTTCATTAATTTTATATTGTTATTGTTGGCTATTTCAATCATTGCGTTTTTCCCTCCTATCTTTTCCATTGTTTCTTTTACGTGGCCTAAAATCTCTTCATACGTATCTAAGCGTTCTTCAAATTTCTCGGCTTGTTCTATGGCGCTGTCAATGTACTCCATTAGCTTAAACACTTGCTTTTCAGATGCTAAAACACTTTGTACGTTTGCCTGTAAGTCATTTCAAATTAAATACACTATACACTATATTTTATATATTTATAAACAATATATACTTACACCGTCTAAATCGTGCAACTCCTTTGATAAAGTCTCAATTAACTGTTCCGCATTTTTCACAGCAAAATCACACGTTGAGAATAACTTACCCAATTCAGATGCTTCTTTATCAGTTAGTGCAGTAAATTCTTGTGCCTCTTCCTCTTCATCTTCCGTATCTTGTGCAGCTTTTTGACGCCCATCAATTTGTGCTGACAGTATTTTCTCTGGCGATTTCTCTGTAAGCCAAGCATTTGGAACATTTCGAAATTCAGCACTTTGACCGCGTACATATTTTTGAATTTGTTTATATAGAACACCTAAGAAATTTTGACGCTCATGTAAATTTAGCGCATACCATTTATACAATTTTTCCAATTGTATATCAAATTCGTGGGTTTCGAATTGTTCATTCCTGCCATCAACCCATTTAACTTCATCCAGCTGCCAGGTACGTTTCTTTTTATAATCACCTTCCCGTTGCTCCGACTGTTTTACTAAGCAAACCGTCACAACTGGCACAGGGGGAGGAGTTGTGACAACACATAGATAACAAGCCCGTTTCTTTTTAAAAGTTTTTGTCACAGTAACTACTGATAGCAATCTTTCACCACAACCATTGAAAATATCCTTTTGTAGAATGAATTTTATATTGGCCAAAGTACCAATTGTTAACATTTTCAACGGTTATTTCAAGCTCTGCGTTACTGTTATTAAAAGCCAACTACATTTAACTTTATAAAAAAAATTAATATACTATTATTTAAATTGTTATATTGTTATATACGCTTCCACTTTTTGTTTAATGTACGCCTATTAATAAAAAAAATTATAAATGACGAAAGCCAACATTATCAGCTGTTTCATATTAAAGTGATGCCATATTCTTGATTTATTACCGTTGGCACTACACCGGTGTACATAAGCCAACCAACTTGCGCTGTGTGCTGTATAAACAAAAAACTTATGAGCATATATAATACTTTCTGTAATATATAATAATATAATTGAACTGTGTTTATAATATACACAAATAAATGTTATATAAACAAAACCAATTCTGGATTTTTGATATTATTGTTGTAACTTGAACGAGTCAGACGAGCGACACTTATATTCATCTAAGGACGTGTGCGAGTTAGGCTAAGTTGATGCTAAACCAAATGGGAGATTTTTTGGGATTTTTTGCACTGCACACATTTTGCCATTTATCAACACGTATCGACACATCACTACATTATCAACACAACTTAGAATTTCCCTCATTTAGAACACAACTTAGCCTAACTCGCACACGACCTAAATAAGCGATTCACCCCAAGACTCATATACGACCTCTCGAGGTCTATTCACATGTTTAACAAGCATGTTCCTACAAACAAGCTAAAAATCAGTTTGCGCATGGATATAAATTGCTAATAAAAAAATATATGTACATATATATTTTGTTTCATGTATCAAATATGTCAAATTTCGATTCATGTTGCATTCAACATTTTTGGTGTAATATCCCTTGATTTATTCTTAACTAAATTAAAAAATACGAAAGCTTTTTGTACGCTTTGTCAAATTTTCTTAGCGACCTAAATCAAATGAACTATTTTAACGGAGGCAATGGGAACATACTAGGTCTGTTCCACGAGCTACTCGTAGTAAAACACAAATAAGACATAAGTAAAGTACAAACTGAGAGCATAACACAAATAAGGTGACAAATTACGCTCTTAATATAGATTTTCATAGAACAGCTTTGTGTAAAATCTGGTGAGAACACCAGTGTTGCGCAAATAAACAATACAAAAATTTTAATTCAAACCAAAACAGCTGATTCACATATCATACAAATTTTACGTGAAATTAAATGTACGAGTAAAATCTGTGTAGCATTTTCAAATTTTGATCGGTATGTTACGCTCTATACGATGCTTTCATTTACTCGAAAACTTGTTGGTAGAACGCACTTGTGTATACACAGTGTTACTCAAAGTTACTACGAGTAGCTCATAGAACAGACTTACTTTAAGACTAAACTTAATAATACATTATTTGTAAGAATTTATTAAAAATTTGTAATACCATTTAATACTATAAATATTTAACATAATGTGGCAACACTGACAGCTGTTTGTGCGAATTCAAGTTTGCCTCGTTTTGTGAAATTCTTTTTCGGAGAGTTGATTTTATATGGCGTCGTTGATAACATTTTTAATATTGTAAAAATTGCGAAAGTGCGATAAACATAATTTTAAAATATAAACAATGTAAGTTAAACAAAAATGTTTAGTTTGAAAAAACATTTTACATTAGAAAGACTAAAAAATTGCTTTCTTTTTCTCTTTTTAATTTCAATTAGACTTCGACATTAGCTGCATTTAAAAGCAACAACAACATAAACGGAACAACGTAATACGTGCTTCGCGTCAGTGTTTGTTTACCTTAAGAGAAAAATTGTGAAATTGTTGAGATAGTATAAATTTTTAAAAAGTAGGAAAATTTTTTGAAGTGTTGAGTTGAAATGTCCGGTGGTTCCCTAATTGCATTAAAAGAAGAAGCTGTTGAATCGGGCGGTGCTGCTAGCGCCTCCGGCGGTAGTGTGGGTAGCGCAACGCAAAACCCAACTGAGGCTGGTGGTACCAATGACGCACCGCCCGAAACCTCACGCCAAATTAGCTTAACGCGTATAACGCAGCGTAAGCAAAAAATGAGCACCCTCCCAATCTCACAAAAACTGGCTAAGCTATCCATGTACTCAGCATGCCAAGTTGAAGGTTGTCGTTGTTCCGGCTGGAAAGCACCTCAGGAGAATAGACATCGAGATATTGGATCGACATATTGTCCAGAATTTAATGAAGAATGTCGCAATAGTAGCTGTCATCATTCGTTGCAAAGTCATATTGCACATCTTGATGGTATATCAGCTGTGCATATGAATGAACTTCTTGGCGCTATAATTGATATGGAAAATTTGTTTATGTCAATGCAAAGAATTGAAGATGAAGACACTAAAAAGGTCTATATGTACTTGTTTCGTTTGCTACGTCATTGCGTACTAACTCGTCAACAAGCCGTGATTCGTGGACCACTGGGTGATCCACCATTTGAAACACCTTGCATAGCAAAAGCGATATCCTCACTAGTATTTTACAAATATAATCACTTAAGCCAAAATGAATTGCAAACTATGACTGAAGTTGCAAAAACATTTTTAAACTTTTTAAATCATTACAATTTTGAAACACCAAATGCGCGCCGTGCTGATCTCTCTCTGGAGGATGCTTCAACATATAAAATTAACTATACGCGTTGGTTAGTGTTTTGCCATGTACCTGCATTTTGTAATTCGTTGCGTCATTTCGAGACATCGCTTGTTTTTGGCCGCACGCTGCTACGTACTGTGTTTCCCTGCATGGCCAACCAACTTCGTAAAAAGTGCATTAACGAACGTGATCGCTTTCCAATGGATAAGCGCTCTATTATAACACAAATGCCAAAATTTTTGGAAGCACTCAAAGCTGAACTACTGAAGGATGACTCTCCAATTTGGGATCAGTCTTATAGACCGCCACCAGCTTTCTACTTGCAGCAGCGCAAGCGTCAACAGGAAGGTGTGTCCAGCACTACAAACTCTGGTAGTAGCAAGCGATCACTTGGCGAACCAGCTAGTAAAAGAGCCAAAAAAGAACCGAGCGAACGCTCAATGGGGTAAGGATCCCAGTTTCCATTTATTTATTATAAATTGAATTGAAATTATTATAAATAAATATATAATTATAAATATATATTAAATATATATTATAAATAGAATTGTATACATAGTAAATTTAACTGTATTCAAATATATTTGAAATAAGATTAAAGTTAATAAGATTTTATATAATTGTACTCAAAGCATGTTATATTTGCAAGGATGTTATTGTAGATTAGTTCGGATGAAGCATGAATCATGACATTGCAATATTTCAAAGCAAAGCATAGAAACTGATCAGTCGAGTCATCCAGTTGTGAATAATCTTGTGAAATAATTAATCAGAAAATGAAAAATGACTTTTGAATTAGTAACTTCAGTTATTCGACTGCGCTCAAAAATATGCTTTGTTTTCTTATATTTGTCACGCAAGTCAAAATAATTAAACGATTTTTCGTAAGTTTACGTAAATCATTTTTTTTTTGCATCATGCCAAAGTATTGTACACATTTAAATTATATTAATTTGAATGCAATTTTATAATTCAATTTGTTATTTCTTTAAATCAATAAAAATTATTAGTATATAATATTAATTGAACACTGAGTTTTACTAAACTATCGCCATTTTTAATGATAGAGATCATCATGCTGAGGATCTATCTGATGAGGCAGTCTTACGTGCTATGAACGCAGTTAACGAATCGAAGGCAATTAACAAATCAGAAATTCTCTTCCCGGAAAATGTTTCTCGTGACGCAAACGTAAAAGCTGAAGAACAACAGCGTGCTATAGAGTTCCATATTGTAGGCAATTCGCTAACCAAACCGGTAGATAAACAGACAATGCTATGGTTGCTCGGTTTGCAATCTGTGTTTTCACATCAACTTCCAGAAATGCCACGGGAGTATATAAGCCAACTAGTGTTTGATACAAAACATAAAACTCTTGCCTTAATTAAAAAACAACAGCCAATTGGCGGCATTTGTTTTCGACCGTTTCCTACTCAAGGATTTACAGAGATTGTTTTTTGCGCAGTTACTATGTCTGAACAAGTGCAGGGTTATGGTACTCACCTAATGAACCATCTTAAGGATTATAGTATTCAGCGTAATATACGTCATTTGTTAACGTATGCGGATCGCGATGCAAATGGTTATTTCAGAAAACAGGGCTTCTCTAAGGACATCAAACTTGCTCGACCAATTTATGCAGGCTATATAAAGGAATATGATGGCGCTACGCTTATGCACTGTGAATTGCATCCATCCATTGTCTACACACAGTTTATATCAGGTTGGTCTTAAATATATTTTAATTTCTTTAACCTATAATAATTCTTTTTATTTTTTATTTTTTTCCAGTTATACGGAAACAAAGTGAAATACTTAAGGATCTCATTGCACAACGACACAATGAGGTACAAAAGGTGCGTCCAGGTTTGACATGCTTTAAGGAAGGTGCAAAATCAATACCAATTCAAGCTATCCCAGGTTTACGTGAAATTGGTTGGAAACCACAACGTTCATCACGTCCGGAAGAATCTATTGATACAGAAAAACTAGCAGCGTCGTTCGCTGCTGTTTTACAATCAGTACGTCAACATAATGCTGCTTGGCCATTTCTACTTCCAGTATCAGTAGAATTAGCCCCCGATTATTATCATCATATCAAATATCCAATGGATCTAGAAACTATGGGTGAACGTCTTAAGAAAGGTTATTACGTCACACGACGCCTATTTATGGCAGACATGGCACGCATCATATCCAATTGTCGCGCATATAACTTACCGGAAACAAAATATTATCGTTGTGCTAATTTAATAGAACGTTACTTTCAGACTAAAATGCGTGACCTTGCCTTATGGGACAAATGATGTCACGTGCTAAATATCGGTATGGATGATGACGGCGATGATAATGAAGATGTTGACGATGATACCACTTTTGAAAATAAAGACAACGACAAGGACGAACTGAATGAGGAAAATGATAGATTAGACAAATTTACAATAAATGCAACAAACTTGAATTTAACTATCGATGCAAACAATGTAATCAAAAAAAGCGCCGTCATAACAACACAAAACTAAAATTTTTTTTGTTTTTATAGTTTAAACACTTTCTTCTTTTTGCTACCTTTGTTACCTTTGTTTTAAATTAATGAAGTTCTTTCATTATATGTATATTTTTAAAAGTTTATTTTTTGCAGACACAACTGTGAATGTGCTTCGAATATTTCTTTTTAAACCGCATTACCGTCATCAATCATGTGAACAATTTTCATAAATACCTGAAACCATTTTTTTTGAACAAAAAGATTAACTGATGAATATATATGAAATACTTCTGCCAATCCTAAGACTTCACTTCAATTGTACGAATTTAAGGCTGTACTCAGATTGTGATATCGATTGCATTCTTGCAAAATACAAATTTATAACTATTCACTAATTTCACATTGAGTTGAAATGATATATGTAAACCTGGGGAAACTTTTCGATCGTTCTCATTAACCACATCGCACCGCCAGTTTTTGCTGACATTTAATACTAACTTCTTATAGGTTAAGTACTTTCCTTCGAGTTGTTATTTTAAATCCTAAACCATTTACTTTTCATTTTGATTATTCATAGTTTATTATTTATTTAAAATATAAAAACAGTATTGTATATATGATGCATGAATATTTAATAAAACTTAACAAATAAAGACAATTAAAAAATATTAGAACATATTTTTAAAAACATTAAAAATACTTAGACACTGCTTGCACTTTAATCTCATTTATTTTTATCAGAGCTATGCAACATATAAAATTCTGAAATGGTGATGTCCACAACTTCTTAATGTGAATGCAAAAAATAAAAGAAAATTTTTTCAATTTTTATATGAAATATTCTACCATAATCAAATTTGATAATAATTCCATGATATACTCATATTACAATTAGTTAATTAACGTAAAACACTCATACATATATTTATAATATACACATTTAAATCTATGATGCTCCATTGTTAGTTAATTATAAATATAATGATCAATGATTGGTATACTGCAAAGCAAATATCACGGAATACGACAAATGGCCGAAATTGATATTAGGGGTATTCACTATCTTAAGTAACGAGTTCGGTAATTGTGTAACTGTAAAATGCCAGCAACAAAATGTTAAGGTGAATTCATCAGTGTTACTGTATAAGAGCTGTATAAAAAAATTTTGCTTGTTGAGATATAGACAAAATTAGTATTATTTCTTATTTATAGATTTATCGCACACAACACATGTTAGCTTCGTTTGGATTTAAACACCATTAAAATATGTCAAAGCAAATTTGTATAACTAATTTGTATATTTCATTTGTATATTGTATAATTTGTATATTTCAAAAAAAATTGGACAAAGTCTAACGGACTTGGCATCCCTACTCTAAACATTCGGTTCGGTTCAGAAATTGGTGAAAAAAGAATTTCTGATTTCTTATATAAAAATAATAAGTCGATTATTTAATAATCAAAATCATTTGATTTCAGTTTAGAATTGTTTTTCTGCTTCAGCACAGATTGATTAATTATACTAAAAAGCAGAAGTTCTAATTCAGAATCAATTGAAAACCCTGCTTTCAATGGATTTTTAATTCGAGCGTTGAACAATTCCGGTTGCATTAAATATCTGTTATTAAAGTTGAAGAATAATACATTTTTCCTAAAAAGACAATTTTATCTTAGTTGAAATTGTGTACACCCCGCTTACAACCTATATATCATCGCAAAGTAATAAAGAAAATTATCCTATGTTATTAATTTCAAAATAAATGATTTCACATTACACAGAACTGTTCTATGAAATTTATCGCAAATCAAGAACATAAAAAATTCCTAGGATAGAAACTTAAAATAAATAGGGGAGGTAAATAGAGTGAAAAATTTCTTAATTGTTGTTAAAGTACATAAGCTACATATGACGTGCTTCTGCAAAAAATAACTATTTCAAAAAACTGTTGACAACATAAAATTGTCCACTGAATTTGAAGATCTAAAATATGACAAGTTCTTTTCTATTGTGTTACATTCTTTACGAAAGAACCTTATTGACAAAATCTATTGGTTCATAAAAAGCATCATAAGACCTAACCCATTGATGACGCTTTATTTTTTAGGTTTAACATTTCAGTTTATAGATCGCTCTCATATCTTCTGACAGACTCAACTCCAGCAATATTTTTCCTAACTCAGAATTATGCTACTGTCGTGGTCACTGTCTACTGTCAGGTTATCCCTGTTAATGACTCTATTTTATGACTCTCTATTATCCCAACTAGAACTTTTAGAAATTACATGTGAAAATAGTATATCTACTTACTAAACAGAATTGAAATCTTATACTGATAAGTTGTAAATATTTATACAAATTATTTAAAACCTGAAAATATATGATGGGTAGTGGGTATATTCTGGAACACTGTTGAACGATTATTCAGTTTTACTTTAACTGACTTTTTAAATTTCACTTACGATGAAATTGTCATAAGCTAAGCTGTCATAATTCATCTATAACAGACAATAATGAGAGTAGTATAATTATTCATCTAATCCTACAATTAGATAATTCAAATTAAAAACCAAATTACCAATAAATTAATAGTAGTCACAGATACGTCGTCGTGCGATTTAGCTCTCAGTAAAATAAATAATGTATAAAACATTTATCTAATAAGGGTTACTTTAAGGATACCTTTTTTTAACAATTCTTCTAATCGCTGAATGAACAAAAACTACTTTTTCAGGAATTTGCAGAAAAAGTAATGTAACTCCTGTAGCAAAACAATAATTTGGTTTATAATTCCATTTACCTAATCTCGTACCTTCGCTTTCAGGCTAAGAACATTCACTTTTTTTAATTTTCTTATCGATAGTCCTATGCAGAGGCTCCTTAAAGTCGACATAATATATTCAGATATTGATCTCTCACATGTGTGAGATATTGATAACATAGTATTTAGATAAAGAATTATAATTTATTGAGACCGTATAAAAAGCATTTATGCGGTTAAACTTTAATACTATTAGTTATATAATAGATGGAAAGCAAACAAAGTGAAAGCGTATATCCCTGCTAGAATCAAAAACTTGGCTCACTTGTCATGAAAAACTACAAAGATATATGAATTTTAAAAGAGATGAAAAGTTTTGTCAATTTGATAACGACGAAGTACACAATCTGTATTACATAACAAAGGTTTGAGAGTTTTTCTAAATCATAACCATTATGTCGATCTGTACACGTTATGAGAATGATGTAAAATCGATCCCAAAAGGCTTACAAAATTACACAAAAGAATCGTCCAGAAATGCGGTAGCTTGATTGTTTTAACTTGATTTAATGGATGGAGAATGGAGTTTAACAATGGCATTCAGTCTAGTTCCAGTTTGATACTCTAATTCAGAAAGAAAAAAATTATTCAGATGTATAATGTCATAAGATAATGACAATAGGTTAGGTTAGGTTGGAATGGCAACCTTGTGTCCAAGCCCACCTGAACTTAAACAATTCTGATAACACGGACTAGCGTCATTCATATAGTAGTCACCGTATGAACAACGCTGAAAGGCACGACTCCCTATTTACGTAGAACTGAATCAACTTGAAAAGTCTCTGGTTTTGGAGGATACCAGGTTTGTCAAGCATATAAGAAAAGGGGATCTGCTGATCCACAACCCCTACTGAATTCATTATAATAAATCATTCTAATAGGATATTTTCTTAGTACCAAGTGACGTGTCGTTGTTAAGCAGATTCGTAAGTAGCTGGTACATTTGTTGTTTATTTTGGGCGAGGTCGATCTTAAGATCTGAGAGGAGTTTTCATCTACCATAGTTTGTTTAGCTATAACGAGATATTTTTTTTTAATTATCAGATGAACCGTTGAAAGTGGAGATAACGATAATGATAATGACTTACTTTTATTAATCATTCTAATTTATAAATTTAATTAGTTTTTTATTTGTTATAACTTATAATAAATTTAAAAACAAACTCTTTAATTTTAACGCAGTAAGTTTTATTAAATATTACAGTTTCAATTGAAATTTCGATATACTAGTAATATCGTGTGATTAATGTAATCAGCTTATTTCAGTACTTATTTAAACTAAATTGGCTCTCCCATTTTTTATTTGTAATTATGTATATGAAAGCGTAGTTTTAATTACATATCTAATATAAATTCTTAATATACAATATTTTTAAAATTTAACAATTACAAAATAATTTTTGTTCCACAAACAAAGCTTTTTATACATATGTATAGACTTATATGTAATATCATAGACACCGAGAAATCTTATTATTGTGAATATATTTATTAAATGTTTCTTACATAAGCAATGTAACATATAAATATATATTAATTATTACTAAAATAATGTACACGTTGTGCAATTTCACTTAAACTAATATAGGTAATAACTTAGAATAATCAATAAGAATTTTGATATACGCAATGTGCCAAAGAAATATTAGAACTTTCTATATTTACTTTATTATATTTCCATATTTAAATCACATCAATTAAATATATATAGACTCGTGATTATTATAAAATTTTCTTTGAAAAAAACAGACCCTGGTATTTCTACAATTAGATTTATATTTGAATGTTTTTAATAAATAAAATTTATATAATAATAACTAAATTCAATATAATTAAATATAGACTAAAATTAACTGCATTATTATTAAAATCTTTTATGTTATTTTCTCATTATAACATAATACACTCTCATTAATACATAACATTGTATTCAGTTTTTTAATTATATAAATTAGTAAAATTTATATATAAACATAGAAAAAAAGTTGTTGATATACAAATTTTTTATTTAAAACCAAATTTATTAACTGTAATATTTTAAAATTATTTCTTTTTAATCAACTTTCCTTAGGTTTTTATTTATATTTATTATAATTTTGTATTTATTATTATTTTTTTTTAATTTTTTAATTATTAAAACTATTATGTTTTAAAAAATATTGATAACGAAATATATATAAATTTTATTTAAAATAATTTTTTTTTTGTAATATATATGAAATAAAATTTTTTTATATTGTT